ATGATAATATCTAAAGGAATTTTTAACACTGGCACAGTTTTTACTCTAATGCGAAAACAATTAATAAGCAATTCAATTCGCATTACTTTTACATCACATTACATTACAGTGTGAAAAGGCCTTAAGTTGAATGCATGTATAAAGCTACTTTATCATTTATAATAATTATGCTATTTATCTCTGCTGCTGGTACTTGCAGGTTACAATATGCTCATGGAACTGTTGGTGGTATTGATACTCTTAAAACTTATGAGGTTCAGTTTGACGATGGAACCCTTTGCTCTGAAATGTTGCTCAGAGATATCATAGTTAGTTCTTTTTGTTACATGTATTGTACATAGTGTTACATATTTATAATAACAAAAAAAAACATGATTTTTGAGTGCATTTTTATGCCTTTGAAAGTATTGTATTGCAATAAAAAAAAAGAACAAGAAAAGGTAGTTATAGTCTTCATAAGTCTTTTTAAAAAAGATATGCAAGTAAAAAGGAAAAAAAAGTCTGCGACACCAGCGATTCCTAGGCGGTCACCCATCCAAGTACTAAGCCGGCCCGACGTTGCTTAACTTCAGTGTTCAGATGGGAACTGGTGCTTTCAACGTGGTATGGCCGCAGACACTGATGCAAGGAAGAAAAGGAAGCTTTATAAGAGAATATGTGACTGCAAAAAATAACTACTGTATAACCAGAAGATTAATTTTGTTGACATTTTTATCCATTATATATAGCCAAGTGATTTAATTGATTTGCAAAATTAAATTGATAAAAATGGCTTTTTGGTAAATCCTTGAAAATTTCCAGCTACATTTACATGTACATTTTTGTACCAAAGAGCTATGTGAGTTATGAATCAGAAGCTACACTGTGCATGTACAATATGTGAATGTATATTTGTTTCTCATGTCAAACAATGGAGGCTGTACATGTACATGTATTAATAATCATAATTCTTGTAGGTTAATGATGGAGCTCCTGATCTTGGTAGCTGTGTTAAAGTTAAATGGAGCAAAAGAGAAATATATGACGCAAGAATAATTGGATACACCACAGTACCACAATACAGAGTAAGAGAATGTATGGTTACATGTACATGAATGTATGGGAATAGTAGTTTAATTTTGACACTATGGCTCCTTTTTCTGTCATTCTTTATTCTTGTCTCTCTTTTCCTTTTATTTATCTCTCTCTCTCCCTCTGTCTCTCTCTCTTCCCTCTCTCTTCTCTCTCTCCCTCAGGTTATATTCGACAATGGTACCACTAATACAGTAACGGAAGAATTCATTTATTCACTTAACGAGCCTCTACCAAGAAGAGTTAAAGACAAACTCAAAGTATGTACCACCATCCACCAATGCTGTGCAAGATGATGTATTGACAAGAATAATGCATGTACAATTGTACATGTACTTGGATGATTGTGGAAAGTAATTGAAGAATTTTGTGGGTCAGTTTGGTACTAAAGGATCTGGTCCTGGACAGCTTATTGGTCCAGCAGGTATAGCAATAGACACTGCAGCTACTGGTCTAGTGTATGTTAGTGAATATGGCAATCATCGTATATCAGTCTTCACTAGTAATGGTGTGCTTGTTAGGAAGTTTGGAAGTAAAGGCAGTA